AGGGTGCAGGGTCAGGTAGCGATATATATTAGGAATTGACGAACAGGGTAAGCTACGGTCAGGCTATCTACAGGTTCATAGACAAGACGCAGCTCGAAGAGCTGCAGCAGAATCGGCGTTGGCGCAGACAGATATCTCTGTGGGTCACGTGCCTAGTCACGTGCATAGATCACGGGCTGGCACCGTGACAGTACTCCCCCCCTCAAGGCCGAGCTCCGTCGAGGCTAGGCCCAGGCTTATGGGGATAGCGGCGATGATAGTTGGCAATAATCTCTCGGGCATGCTCCAGGTATGCAGCTGGTTCTTCAGTGAGATCATCGTAACCAGTCCACTTGACTGTATATTTCAGGCGAGGCCCTCCATGACCCCTTCTTTCCCAGCGGGAGTCCAGGATGTCTTCAACCTGCCATTCTTCAAGTCCATCAACTTCAACAGGTGGTGGTGGTTCTTGTCTTTGACCAGGAACAGGGTTTCCAGCAGCAGGGTGGAGCAGGCTAACATTGAACACAGGATGTATTCTCATGCTGGCGGGCAGGTCGAGCTTATAAGCATGCGAGCCGATAATCTCAACAATGCAGAGTGGTCCTAGATTCTTCCAATCAAGCTTCTTCTGGGGCCGTAGGGTTTGGATATTGCGGGAATCCAGCCATACGTACTGGCCAACTTGATAATGATAGGCAGGCTGTCTCTTCCAGTTAGCTTGTTCCTCATGGTGAGCCTGGGCAGATGTGATCTCAGCACAGACAAACTCAGTGATTAATTCCATTCAATGGGCAAACTCTTCAGCATCTCTGGTGGGGCGGCTGGTAGGCAGAACAGGTTCAAATCCCATTCATGGGTGGAATCCATAATTTGCAAAGAATGGGGAAACATGGGTAGTCTCAGAGTGGGCAGAATTGGCAGCAAACTCAGCCAGCAGTAGCCATTCAGACCAGTCATCTTGCAGATAGGATACATAGGCACGGAGGTATTGTTCCAGAATAGCATTGGTCCTTTCAGTCTGGCCATCAGTCTCAGGATGGTAAGCAGTTGATAGCAGGTTTGTGATTTGCAGGCGGCGTGTCAGATGTTTCCAGAATTGGGCAACAAATTGTGGTCCTTGATCTGATACAATAGTTTGTGGCAGTCCATGGAGTTTCCAGACATTGCAGGCATACAGGC